AAAATGCGACAAAGTTTCATCAAAATTTCAAGCTTATGTATTAATCAAAATAAAAATAATAACAATAACAATAATTCGTATCCAGTTTTGTAGCCCATTAAATTTTATGAGTGCAAGTTTGAAGTGGCTAGGACTTACCGTTTCTTTTTGGTAATATTTTTTGCTGACGCATTTTCTTCCATACAAAGTATGTTCGAGAATTTTTTATATAAAAATGCTAAATAAAAAGTTTACAATTTTCATGAATATTTGTGGAAATTTGTCAAATTTGTACAAATCACTTTCATTTACATGGCTTTTGTAGAAACAAAATAATAAACATTAACTAGCAAAAAAATATTGTATAAGTCTCGCCTCCATTTGTTTGCCCGCCACCGTACATGCATATAAGTGTGCACGTACGAGCATGAAGAATGTTGAACATGAATTCTCATAAATCAAGTAAGAAAGAAAGTGTTTTGCAGCGATAACAACATAAACTCTGAATTCCAAATAAATATGAATACATACATACATATAATAACGGTAATGTGTGTATGTGAAGTTCAAAAATGATAAACTAAAATTTATTTATAGTGATACAATAGAAACTAATTTAGAGAAATAAGTCCGTAAAACGATGAAAATAGGATGAATAGTATTTTTGTACGTGTAATGAGAAAAAAAAATTAAAAATAATTGTAAATTAGCGTAAACGATAACACTTGTTTTTCTTCGTGCAAACGAGTTTTTGTTTTTATGAGTTTTAAATATAGATAAGTACATTATGATAATGTTATAGACAAATACTTTTCTTCAATCCTCCATGTATTGCGAATATGTAAATGTTGGCACAATATTCCTAGAATAATGGTATTTTATAAAGTGTGCATAAATCTACGATTTTTTTCCATTTTCTTATTGTATATGAAAAAAGTTAATAAAGAAAAGAAATATTTTAGTCATACATGACTATTATTTAGTTAGCATGTGTTCTATAGGTACTCAAATATTTTCTGTATTGAAAAAAAAAAAATGCGGGGTGAGTTTTACCTATGGCTTTCGTATATGAGCCGTTTATTTGGAAAGTGTATGGACAAATAAGAAAAGAATAAGGTGTCAAATGAAAACGCGCGAGGATTTTTCGTATGAAATATGAGTACAAAAGCGTGTTACTCTGGTGTACTAGGCGTATGAGTAATATTATTTCCTTTAAGAAAGTATACATATATGTACCTACCCGACCAAGAGTTTTACGTTAGTTTCTCTTACCCTCAAGCTCCGCCTCACCTAAGAGTCTCGTATTTCAAACGGAATTCTCTATTTTTGCTTTTCTGTCCGTTGAATGTATCGAGAATGCATTCGTTTTATAATTTTTCTCTAACTTTTCTCAGACAAAATATTCGAAATAGTATATAGAAAGAGGCATCGCTTTAGTAAACATCCTGTAAGAAATTTTCAAACATTAAAAAGTAAAACATTTTGTTTCACATACTTGTTAACACAATAATTGAACATTTTAAGGAACTATATAATAAATCGGAGTAAGTATTAAATCCCCTTTGCAGGATAAATAATTTAAACTAATAAACTGACTATTCTTATCACACAAATAGCACAACTAACACAGTTGGAGGAAATCGCAATCATACAAACTTTTTAAGGAACCATATAAAATATCAGAGTAAATATAAATAAATAAATATATTTAACTAAATAACTGACAATTTTTTTATAATATCATCTCAAGTCACTAAATTGGATACTAGCAATTAGTGACTATTCGGGTTCGCGTCCTCCTAGAGCGCAGAAGATTTTTTATTTTTTATAATTTTTTTTTTGATTTTTTCTTGTTTTTTGGTTAATTTTTTTTTAACAAATATTAAAAAAAAATCCAATGAATTTTTATGATATTAAAGCATTTTGGTTTATTTCCTAATGAAATTGTTGTGGAACAAATATTTCTTTGCTTCTTTTTCGTGTTTTTTTTTTTATAAAACAGAAAGCAATTATCTTTGCCTCAATATTTTCCTTTTTGTGACCAGCTCGGAGCCAGCTGACAAATAATTGACTTTTTTATATTAGGTACTAGAGACTGCTTACTGAATACCAGGGTTAATTGTTACACGCATGCCATGGCATATGAGTACGGTGACCATATTAACCAACGTAAAATTAAGGACATTTTTTTTTTAATTATTTGGGAATACGCACATACAACTTGTATGATAAAAGTACCTTACCCATATCGTAATTTAAATCAAATATTTACCAGTTAATTAACCGATTCCGAAAAATGAAGCCAAATCCTTTTCAAGGACCTCGCCGTCCTTTGCTCCCAAAATGCGGTTGCCATAATTCATACTGCACGCCGAAGCCAGCAGTGGTTCAAAATTATAATTTAATGTTCATAATTCACCGTAGTCTTAATCTGTCAACCAAGTTTTACTAAAAACCAAAAAAAAATATTATTTTGGGAATTTTTTTTTTTTATATTTCAATAATTTTTTTTTTGTAATTGTTCCGTTTTAAGGAACCGTACAATTGTTTTTAACTAGCCTTTGTTATGTAACATTTATTAACTGGAACAGGAGAATACATTTTCTTCAAAATTGCCACTTTTTCTGCATTTTGCACTACAAAATTTAATATAATCAAATAAAAATTCACAAATCAGGCTCAACTGGTCTCTTGCAAATATTATAAGCTTTCATAAAAAAAAATTATCAAATTAAGTGAAACAAATGAAGGATCCAGTGAATTACGAACACTAAATGCCAGTTTTGAACCACTGTGCAGCAGTTGTTCTCTATCAGTGGAACTGGAAACTCAGCGTGCAACACGATCCTGGGCACAACTTCCCCTGTGCTTTTTAGATTGTGCAAAGATTTCCTATTCAATAAAAACCCTTAAGTGGAGTGCGAAACGAACTGGCGGAGGTTTTCATTATACTTTATAAAGGACATTTTTATTTTTCTTATTCTGTGTCTAAAAATTTACCTCTCAAGAATTCAGAGCTGATTTAAAGGACAGTTTGTGTAGTGGTAAGCAGTGCACGCTTTCACTCCGCAACGCCTGGGTTCAAACCCTGGTCAAAGCAACATCGCAAAAAATATAGAAAAAAGGTTTTTTCTTAACAGCGGTCGTCCGTCGGTAGGCAATGGCAAACCTTCGAGTGTATTTCTGCCATGAAAAACAGCTTCTCATAAAAATACAATCGCGGTTCGGAGTCGGCGTAAAACTGTAGGTCCCTCCGCTTTGTGTGACAACATCAACACGCACGCGACAAATCAGAGGAGAAGTTCGACCAAACACTAACATATGTGTAAGCGCCAATCTATTTTTATTATATTAAGAAATAATGGACAAAAGGCGTCCTTTATTTTGACAAAAATTATATAGGACAGGGGGTTAAAATAAAGGACTGTCCTTTAAAATAAAGGACGGATGGTCACCGTACAAATGAGTGACAAAGGGTGGTGAGTGTTCGCCATGATTCAATCATGATTGAATCATGAGTGTTCGCCATGATTCAATCATGATTGAATCATGAGTGTTCGCGATGTAAAGAACTTATTAGGGGTCTTCATTTGAAGTGTTAAAGGGATATTTTGCTTAAATTTATTAGTTTATCCGCATTCAGGGTTGAATTTTGCTGAAATTGATACGTTTGCCCACCAAGATCGTTTGATAAAGTGATAAACTTTGGATAAATAGATTTCCATATGAATTTTACAGACATACGCAATTACATACATATGTATTGAAAAAGTCACATTTATAGATTTGCATATCGTGTAAGAACACCTTAAATAATATTATTGGCCCGTAGTCATAGTCAAAATAAAGTCGACTTTAAAGTTAGTTGCAGCTTTTTTGACAGATATCCCATTGAAAATTATGTCAAAAAGCTGCAACTAACTTTAAAGTCGACTTTATTTTGACTATGACTACGGGCCATTGAATTTATTAACGAATGTTTAATCAAATACACACTAGAAGTATCGCGAATCCTTAAAAAAAGACTACAATAAAATTCCGACGATTTTATGAAGGTTTCATTCTACTGGGTGTATATTACACACTTATGTGTTTTTTTTTTATTTCCAATGTTTCTCATTCTAAGTATTTTTCGTTAAGTTTTTATTTGAGTACTATGCCTCATGCTCCATAAATCATTTAAATTCAAATTCCTAACTTTGCTGCAAACTTGATAAAACTCATGTCAGCTTTTTTGTGTTTACATGCTGCCTGCATTTACTTGGTGCTTTTAAGACATAGTAAATGGCCTGTTGATGTAGTTTCAATCTTTATATAGGTACTTAAAATCAAATTTGCGAAACAAAAATTCAATTTTCTAGTTTTTGCATTGAAGTGACAAAAACAAAAACAACCTGAATCAGCTGTTTCTCAAATTCTGGGCGCGACATGTGGTATTTTGCGTTCCCGTACTTCTGGACTTTGTTCCACTTTTGAGAGCGAACTTTTCGCTCATTCTGTAATTACCGGATCCGGTGCGGATTGTTAGGGGAAGAACCTACTAGCCGTCATCGATTCGCCACTTCTCGCCCGCTATGTTTGAGTTCCGGTCGCTTAAAGAAGAATTTTGCATGTGAAAGCAACAACAAAGTTAGCTTGGACGGATAGACGATAGCGAGTTTGCTTGTACCTCAATGAGTTCGTTCGTTTCGCCACTCGCTAACTGTTGGCGAATCGATGACGGCTACTATTTCTTTAGTTCACTCTCTGTGAGCGTAATTCTCTCAATAGCTGAGTTCCAGCAGCAGTACGAATAGCAGGATTTTACAAGTTGCTGTTCCCGCACGAGACCTTACATAAGGTTTTTTAATGGCGAAAACACCAGGTAAATCCTGCGAAACCTGCTATTCGTACTGCTGCTGTGGCGCAGCTAATTTTCCAATTCTTCTTCTTCAAGATAATTACTACTAGAAAAGAAAAGAAACAAAGCCATTGTTTTATCTGGCATCAACTGACGTATACAAAATGACAGCGCTGCGAACTGTTAAACACACCTGACAGTCATCTGCTAGGAATGATTAAAGCAAAACAGAAAAGAGACGTGTACACATATGGCAGTGAACGTAACAAACTCAGTAACAGGAGCAGATTAGTAGAAAAATTTTCAATCCAAAAAATCTTTGGAAAATATCGTTATTGCCAACAAAAAATTTAGCAAAGCATTAAAGGTGAACTTGAAGGGTAAGTGCCCATGGAAAATGAAATCGCCGGAATTAATTTTTATTTTGAAGCAATTATATGCAAAATCAAGGTGGCTGACGCATCTTACTATTTGCGAATAAAGTTGTAGTTGTGACGAACTGACGTTATATAGCAGCGCAATCTAGCACCTGTGCACAAAAGAAAACGGGGCAAGGCTTCTACCAAACTACGGAATTCCTTTGCGCTGCCAGCTGATGCACATATATACATCTATATATATCAATATACAATACAAAAAAGCTTTTATTTGGAATAGAATATTGTCTTGAATACATTTTGGATGCAGTGAGATCATACCAATATCTGAATAAGCGACGGGGCGGCGTTCAGGTTAGGTGTGCAATAGAAAAAACTACATACTATATAGTCGCAGTAATCCAACGAATTGAATTGACAGTATTGTTACGTATTAAATTTAAAAATTAAAATTTAGTTATATCGCGATTGAGTGACAAAAGTAAGCATGACTATCAAACCGGTGATTGCTCCGTCGCAGAAGCGTGTGGCTTCGGATGAGAAGAAAGAGTCACATAGTCATGGGCATGCCCTCGCTTCTCATTCTCATACACATGGTCACAACGTGGTCGAGCCAGGAAGCAGTCACAGCCAGTCCAGTGGTCGCACTACTGGCGCACATCCTCCATGCCGTGGCGGGCAGGTAAGCAATCTTAGCTACATATCGTCCCGCTTCTGCCTTAACCTCGTATCTGCAATAGAGGTATTTTAGAGAGTGTAGGAAAAAATGCTTAATTTCTTCCGTTAGGATACAATAAACGCATTTTTTACTTAATATTTCTGGTTCCACTAACAGTAGTGAGCACCCTTATTACGTTCCCACGACAGTCGGGTCTACGTAACCGGAACGACCCAGATTCATATCGGGCCAAGGACTGTCACTCCAGCAACACTCCCCAAAAACTCTGGGGAATCTGTATGCTGTTACAACAACAAACACAGCACCCTCATTAAGTCTTTGTTCTAGTGTGACGCTTAAACAGATGTTATAAGTGGTAATATTAGCATTCCCAAAAATTGTAGATACGTGGTTAAGGCAGAAAAGGGACGATATGTAGGTTTGGTCAGATACATCCAAATTATTAGAAACGCAAGGATACAAAAAGAAGTTTTAATGGTATACATAGCATATCCAGGTACTTCACGATTTGCAGGAATTTATCGAAAACAACTTTTGCTGTAAATCCTGTAAAACCTGCAAATCCTAAAGTACCTGAAACAGGCTTAATTATCTTTAGTTTATTAGATATTTATTTATTATTTTTTTTTATAAAAGGTATAACTTATAACTTAACATACACCATTTAAATCCAAATTCAGACTTTGTGCAAAAATTATGCATAATTTTACCAAATATTTCTAACGTTTTAATCAGCATCTTTAGAAAATATTTTGGTAGGAATGCACACTTTTGCAGGCCATTAAATTTAAGTACAATAAAGCGACAAATATAAAGTAGCTAATTGCGTTTTCCGCGCTACCATTAATGGCGAAAACAAATTTTCCTGTAAGTCCTGTAATCCTGCAAATCTTGAAAGTACCTGGAACAGGCTTACAGGGAACCAAATAAAAACTCGGACGCGACATTTGTGTAAGTTTGGCTATTTTTAACCGACTTCCAAAAAGGAGGACGTTATCAGTTCGTCGGGATATTTATTTTTTTTATGTATGTTACCGCATAACTTTGGACCACGTCAACCGATTTAGATAATTCTTTTTGCATCGGAAAGGTATTGTCTCAGAGGTGGTCCTATACTTATCTGGTTTAGATACGATCATTGGATCATGAGATATATATTTATATTTTTTTATATGAGAATTGAAGTCGGTTTTTTTTTTGCTAAAAATTACTTGTTATTAAAAGATTTTTTTTTTTAACTTGCTTTGTTTATATTTATGTATGTATGTTTGCTAGGGTCAAATCTTGCAATCAATTTTTGACCAATTTTCCGATAACCTAGATTTGAAACTTCACAGTTGGCTCAGAACCCGATGACAGTGCAAACCTAAAGATAACATTTCCACGACAGCCGCTTCTACGTACCAGATTGACTCTGGTTTTACCCGACCAAGGGCTGTTGTTTCGGCAATCTAGCCCCGTTGCTCTATTCTAGGGCTACATCTGCTCCGTACCCTTCTGCTCAGGGCTGGCATTAAGTCCAACTTAGGGCCAGAAATACACCTGCTGCGTATGCCAGAGACGACTGCAAACAAACTCCACCTCGGTCATGAGCAATGCCTGTGACGGGTGGAGTCACCTGCACCTGCGCAACTGCTAGGGCCTACGTACGCACCGGCAATGGACCAGGTCGTTCGTGGCCCCATCCTGTGCGAATCAGACCGCCTCCACGGCAAATCACCACCCGCTCTTGCAGCACACAACCAACACACCCACACCCCAACACAACACAACAATAGATACACACACAAACACAATAGCACCCACATACCGCCGCCGTCAACTCCTAGTTTCTCCAACAATCTGCTCGGTTTTTCAGTCCAGAATATACCGTCACGTGACATCAGTCAAGTGCAACTCCTGCCTTGGCTGGTTCCCATTTTAGAGCATGCTCAGGACTTCGCAACACGCGTGATTGGACGAGTGGCTATGTGGGCCCCTGCTGTGCTGCCCAGTCGCATACCTCTCCCGCGTTGCCGCCAACCACCACCACAAGGCAGCACCCCCTTTTGCTGCACGTACAGCAGGAAGCCGGCAGGCAACACAACTCCTTAACACAATACATAACGATCGGTCTCCCAAGCCACACAAAGGTGCTACAATTTAACTGTAACGGATCCCAGAGCAAGATCGAGGAGATAACTGTCTTTATGGGAAGGCATGGAATATTAATAGCTGCGGTCCAAGAGACGAAGTTGCACGGCAACTCAACCTTGTTGAATTGCGCCGGATACAACGTGCACCGTCGAGATCGCGAGCGATACAATGGTGGAGGTTTAGCGTTCATCACGCACCACACCGTGCAGTATCTTCTTCTTGAAGCAGACTTCGACCGCAGTGATACCATCCTAGAATGTCAGGGTATTGCTATCCGGTCAGGCGATGTTGAGCTCGAAATATTTAACGTATACATACCCCCTGTCACCAGCTGCCCGGCAGGATATCATCCTGAAATAGGTGCGCTACTCAGAAGTGAAAACCGTATGGTAGTTGGCGACTTTAACGCGCACCACGATCTTTGGCTCTCAAGCCTATCAAATGATCGTAGGGGAATACAGCTGGCTGAGCAGATAGACGATTCGGCTTTTTGCACAATGAACGACGACGCTCCCACCAAGATTATGGGCAGCTGCTGGTGCTCGCCAGATCTAACAATTGTCAGCGCTGGTCTGATAAACAGCGTATCATGGCGACCTATGCTGACCCTATCATCAGACCATCTGCCCATAGTCATCTCGATAGATAAACCTGCCGACTTTGCTTCCGTGGATTACCGGACTTATGTAAACTTTTCCAAAGCTGACTGGAAAGGCTTCACGGATGTTACTGAGGGCGCCTTCACTGCACTGCCCATACCAACCGACGTCCACATAGGTGAACGTAAATTTCGCAGGGTTGTCACTGCTGCTGCAGCTCGCTTCATCCCAGCAGGATGTATTAAGGATCCGCGTCCGAACTTTCCTGCTGAAGCGGCTGTTCTAGCCGATGAGCGTGACAACGTTCGTCAGGCCGTTCCCGGCAATTCCCCTATCAGGGATCTCAATTCGGAGATTCGGCGACTTGTCAACGTACATAAGTGGAAGAAACGGGAAGAGCATTTGAAGACCTGCAACTTCGTCTCTGGTGTGAGTAAGCTTTGGCCAACTATGAGGTCGTTGTCCAACCCGACGAAGCGTGACAACAGAGTCGAAATAGACTTTGGTGACCACGCTTAGTCGGACCCGGAGCGATGCGCGAGATATTTTAGCCGGCAGTTTATTCTGCATCCTTCGGTGGATAAAGCCAAACGTCGAGTGACCAGAAGGCTGCACAAAATGCCAAAACCCAGGGCGCCACTTTTTTTCACCAGCGGTGAGGTAAGGATAGCCATCGGGAAGGTGAAAGCCTCCAAAGCCATTGGACAAGACGGAATATGCATGTCGATGCTGAAAATTTTGGTTCCTGCGGGAGTAGCGTACCTAACTGAGGGCCTCAACTTGTCTATGGCTACTCTCGTCATTCCAGACATATGGAAGATGGGGAGAGTGGTCCCACTGCTCAAACCGGGGAATCCAGCCAAAAATGGAAAGTCTTATCGACCGATAACCCTCCTTTCCCCGGTAGCGAAGACACTAGAGGCCTTGGTACTCCCGTATTTCACGAACCACCTGACCCCAGCGAAGCATCAGCATGGTTTCCGTAAAGTGCACAGTACAACAACAGCACTTAACGCCATAACCACTCAGATAACACGTGGCCTTAACCGCAACCGTCCCTGTGAGAGAACTATTCTACACCTTTTCCAACAGTATTTCGGAAAAACACAAATGTATTTCAGAAAAGGCCTAATGAATTTCAGAAAAGGCCAAATGAATTTCAGAAAAACTCAAATGTATTTCAGAAATACATTCAGAAAAGGCCAAATGTATTTCAGAAAAAGACAAATGAAATTCAGAGAAACACAATTGTATTTCAGAAAAGTTCAAATTATTTTCAGAAAACCGCAAATGTATTTCAGAAGAGGGCAAATTTATTTCAGAAAAGCACAAATGTATTTCAGAAAAATATTTTTAGAATACAGTTATGCTGTGCTTCTTAGGGCTGCCGTTAGTGGAACTTGACGACAACGACTGAGATATCAACCGATCGGGGCGGGGTTGTTGTCGCCGCTACAACAACAACAATGATTGATAGCTCTTATAAGAGTAAATGAGTTTAAAAAATATGCAATAAACACGCAATACCTTTTTGCCACACCCAATTCTTATACAAATGAAGGTATGCATGTGCATATGAAAGTGCTTAGGAAAGGATATCTATTTAAGTTTCATACTTGGAACCAATTTTTAATTTCCAAAGCAAACTATTGTTAAACATTTTGTTTTTTATTCAATACAAGTTTGTAATTCATTATCTATTGTTATTGTCGATGGTATCAGAGCCCTCAACGCCGTGCTGAATCGTTCGACGAGATTACGCGTCATCGTCGAAGCCCACATAAAAGGTAACTTCAGATCGTTTTAAATCAAATCGTTTTAGAATTAAATAATTAATTACCGTATGTAAATAGCTCACGGTCTAAGCGTAGGGATCATCATGACCAACATCATAAACGAGAACGCGCAGAGCGAGAAAAACATTCAACTGCGAGTGGTTCAAATAGTTCAATCCCCAAGAAATGCAGTAGCCCACATGTCCATGGAGGCGGATCTGTAGCTACCTCTGCCGTCGGTAGTCCTGTAGGAAAGAATGTATTGGGCGGTGGCAGTAGTCCAGCGCATGTAAGTGCTAAGGGAAGTGTTTCACCTGATCATCTCGGAGCTATACCTGTTGTGCTTGGTTGCCAAAGTCCCAAATCTTCATCTTCGGTAACGCAAGCAACAGCTAATTTGCTTAAAGATGTCGAAGAGACATATTCCGGGTACAATAGCGGCGACGAGCACTTGCAACCAAAAGAAGGTTCTACCACCGCCGATGAGTGGCAACAACGCGATGAACAGTTTGCTAAATGTATGGCTCAGCGAGGTTATGAGTTACGGCCGGTTGAGGAAGATGGTGCATGCCTGTTTCGTTCAATCTCATTGCAAATTTATGGCGATGAAGAGATGCACGATGTTGTACGCCAGCATACGATGGATTATATCGTAAGGATAATTGAAAAGATTTTTGCTCTTATAATAAATTATTTACTTACCGTTCCTTCACTTAGTATAAAAATCGGGAGTACTTTTCTCACTTTGTCACCGAAGATATTAACTCTTATATTAAACGAAAACGGCGAAAGGATTCGCATGGAAATCATATTGAAATACAGGCTATGTCGGAAATATACAATCGACCAGTGGAGGTCTATTCTTACAAACCAAGTATGCTAATGTGCTCTTATTTAATAATCCTAAACTGATGGCCTTCATTTTTATTTGTAGCTCCGATAAATATATTTAATTCAGAACAACTAAACAAAGGTTATGCGCCGTTGCGCCTTTCCTATCAGCGCGGATCGCATTATAATGCCATTATCGATCCATATGACGCAAGTGTGGGAGTGGGTTTGGGATTAGCTGGTTACAAACCGGAATTGCAGACAAAAGAAGCAGTACTTTTGAGTGAACAAATGGAGATAGAGCAGGTAAAATAGCTCTTGACGTGTTTGTTATGTTACACATTATGTAGTAGGGTTCAGTTTAAGCATTTTTGAGTTTAAAAATGTTTATTGCGTTTCATATGTATTTGCAGACAATGTTTGAAGACAAACTTAAAACAACTGATTGGGAGGCCACAAATGAAGCAATAGAGGAACAAATTGCACGTGAATCTTATTTACAATGGTGCCGAGAAAATTTGCAGAAAACTCGTTCTAGCGGTACTGCTCCATCTACTTCGGCGACTGTAACGTCTGCCGAAGCTACCTCAGACTCTGAGGCATCGCCCTCAAAATATTCCGCGCTACGCAATAACAATGGTAATATAAGCACTTCTAACACTAACAACAGCAGCTGCAGTAGGAATATAAACCATACCGATGTTGGTGGTTTAACGAATACTGCAACTACAGAAAATGTCTGCGAGCACAAGTTAAGTGGAATCGTTGGTTCAGGACAGCTCCCGAACAATACCGATACATCATCGGGAACATCTTTAGAACACAGTTTTGGTTTGTCGCCAAAGTCATTGAGTTCTTTGGCCAACAATTTAAAGAAAAGCTCAACTCCTCCACACTCCGTTGGTGAATGGGATGCTGACAGTGATGACACAGATATGAGCAGTACGAGCTCAATAGGCACCAGTAGTGGTAGTAACAACAGTGGCGGTCAAAAAAACACAAAAAAGCGCAGTTCAGGTTTGCGAACAGGTGGACAGAAACGGCGCCGTGAAACGGTTGCACCTTCAAAATTTAAAGGGTAAGTAGATCA